GACAGCTTTATTCATGGGAAAGATTGGGGTCAGCCCTCCTTAAACAATAGCTTATACAAATGTGGGTTTTGCAGAATCTGCATGGACAGCATCAGCCTGTCAACTTTCAGATACAACATGGTACTTTTGTTTCATACCACATTATAATCTTACAATAAAAACTCCATGTGCAGAACTGTCAAGATAGCAAAAGAGCGACACTAGGCATGGGCCCCTGTGAAGAAGTGAAAACTTTGTCAAATAGAAAAGTCCACCCTGTGGGCTGTGCTATGATTGCTTTGGGGTAGGGGATGACAAGATCTTCTCCCACCTGTGACAGGCCTCTCTGACAGGCTGGATCTGATCAGCAGAGGAGGAAGTGGCTTTGCTGGACCCCTAAGGAAAAGGTAGCAGGTTCCCCATTGCCACCACCTCCCAGGGCTCCCCGCTTTGCAGCAGGGCCAGCAAACACACTGGGTGGCAGCTAAGGGAGCAATCCAGGGCTTCCTGGACATCTGCGTCTTTGGTACATCATTGAGCCTGGGGTCTGTCTTTGGCCAATGGGCCAGGGGTTCACAAAGACATCAAGTTAAAGACCCTGAGATCCACTCTAGCCTTCTGTTCAGGTTCCAACTGGTCACCTTTGCAAATGTGAATCATCTTTAATGCCAATTTAATCTTAGGAGGAGACAATACATCACCACCAACCCAGTTAAGGGAGTTTCAAGGACACTGTCCTTAGTGCCAGGAGAGCACCTTTGATTCCCGGGCCCCTAGTTTTCCACTTACCTGGGTGTCTCATGAGCTTGTGTAAGTGATGGCAGTGCTGGAGATAGCCAGCTTCAGGGACATGTAATGGGTTTGGAAGGAAACTCTGGCCTGTTTCTCTGCACAGAGCAGGGAGGCTGGTCCAGGGATGACCTTAGGCATGGTGTGGATGGGCAGTCTGAAGGCCACCCTGGGAGATGTGCCTGTCTCCTCCCACCGTCTTGTTGCTGGGAGGCTCTCAAGTGCATCTTTCCCCACCATTCCCTGCTAAGTTACCTCGGCCCCCCGGACCCTGTGTCTTCACCTGAAAATGTGGGCTTGAACTAAATAAATGTTCTCTTCTAGTTCTTGACATTGTACCTACCTGCGAGCCACCAAAATACTTAGGGCATGGGGTCTCCGCTCAGCCTGGTCAGCAGAGGCACTAAAAATTCTGGGTAAGACATTGATCCAGTGGAAGAGAGTTCTCCACCACCTGGCTCATGTGATTCTGGAGGTTTTTTCCATTTCACTGACTACAGGTCACAGAATATGTTTGCTGAAGTAGAAGGCTCTGGAGTGTCTGGGTCTGGCTATCCGAGAACAGTCTCCCAGGGCCCCTAAGGTACTTCTGTGTTTGTGTGAGGACCAGGATGGGTCTCCAGGTAACTAAAGTGCTGGCTTTAGCCCGGGGAGATTTCTATTGAAGACCTCTTTCCCTCACTCTTCCCCCTGGGGCCTGAGCTTTTCTTTTTTCCAACTCCAAGTCTACTCAAATACCTAGATCAGCTCAGAAAGAACATTCCAGAAACATCACAGAACCAACTGGTCTTCCTGGAAGTTGTAGGCTGGCCTGAGAAAATCAGGAGGGACCTGTATGCTCCATCTAGTTTCTTAGGACAATTTCTGTCTAAATCTCTAGGACCTGTGACATTCCTGAGATGGAGCATGGACCCCTCATAGGGGCCTGCCAGGCCCTCCCAAGGAAAAGTCTTGAGCCCTTTCAAGGGAAATCCCATACACTTAGCTAGTCTTAAAACAATCTGTTCAGCAAGAAGGGAACACCAATGTACAGCAATAGTCTCCCAAGTAAGCCAGGGTCATAGGTGTTTGAGTTCCCTATAGAAACTAAAAGATAACATCCTATCTTTGGTTATTTTTAATTTGGTTCCTGAGTCAGAAACCCAGACCCTCACCAGATGGAAAACACCAACCACTGTCTAGATCTCAGATGAGGGAACTGAGGCCTGAACCTGACACCATTCTTTGTTCTAAATTTCTTCCTAAGAGCCTGGAGAGAGTCCTGCCCACAGGCCAAACCCTAATGTGCCTTTCTGCTGACCTAAAGTTTTTAGACAAGGCCTTGCTTCCATAACCAATGGCTAGCCAAAGGATCTCTGAATCTGCCTGTGACCCACAGGCCTGTGCTTCAAGATAGTCTCCTTCTTGGGCCAAACCAATGTACAACTTCCATGCACTGACTTGTGATTCTGCCTGTAATGTCTGCTGTCTTGAAATACACCCCACCTTTTCAGTCTTTGCCTACAAGCTGCTGGGGAGTGCAGGTCTCCGGCATGCGCTGCGCCTTCCTCCTGCTGGCCATGCAGTGGCCACCTTTGTTGCCTCCTGCAGATGCTGGTGTCAGTGTTTGGTCTTGCAGAGCCAGGTGAGCAAGGCCAAGTTCAGTTCATCATCATTCCCAATGGGCAGGGGCTCAGCAGACCACAGGACTGCAGTAAATACACACAAGTGGCCAAAGCCTTTGTTTCTGGTCCATGTAGACTCCTTACACCTTCCTCCTGTTTGAAGACCTCCATTCGAGCTCCCTAAGTTCCCAGACACACTTGGGCTCCTCCTCCCTTCTCTAGTGACAAGCCAGAAACTCTAAGACATGAGCTTACTCAGTTTCCCTCCTGTTTCACCCTCATCTCCTTCCTCTAGTTCTAGAGAACTGAAGTGGTGACCCCACCTACTGGCCCCTGAGCACTTTCTGGGCCTGGGTCTCCAGCTGTCATGGGTGCTCCTCTCCCTCCCCCCCTGGTTTCCTGGTTTAGCCTGTGCCCCCACCTTGGCTTCCTCACTGGGTCTCACATCCCAGCTCTTGTCATTGGAGCCCTGCAGCACTCATGCCACCTTGATGTGTCACCAACCCAAAGCTAGGGGCTGTATGCTCCTGGTTCTCCCACTCCCTCTGTCTCCACGCGATGCTGCAATCCCACATGCTCCCATCATCAGCCCTCCTCTCACCTCTGTCCAAGTTCCCTGTCATCTGACATAGTTCCTTATTGCTATAGCAGGACCTCAACCTGGCTGTCCAATCCCTGCCTCCTTTCAGACTGATTTCTAGCCCCTCCCTCTGCCTGAAATCCCAGCTCTGTTAGTGGCACCATCCCAATCCAGCTGTCAGGGTTGATTCTCCACCACGCAGGGCTGTACACATATCTAAGCAGGGTGGTACATTCGTGTGAGTGTGGCAGTTGTTTCACATGTTAACATTGGAGTTTCAGAAATGAATTTTAGTTTGAGCCAGAAAGCTGATTTTGGTTTTCTTGGCCCATCCTTTTATATTAGTGGTTCTCAACCTGTGGGTCACGGCCATAGGAACTGTATTAAAGGGCCGCGGCATTAGAAAGGTTGAGAACCACTGTTTTATACAAACATGGTTATCGGGGAAACTGTGAAGAAAATGACCTTCTATTTCTTGTAAACTGAACATCACAAACCATCTGGTTAAGGTAAAACTCAAGTGTATAGTTTTGGACACTTTTTTTTCAATTTAATAATAATTGTAGGAACATAAACTCAAAGACCCAGAAAACATTCTAAATGACACTGGAATGAGTTCACAATTTTGTGCTCAATTTCCCTAAAACATTTACCTTTCTAATCTCAACCTCACTCTACATTTATGAATTAATTTTTGAGGCAGATTTTCCTGTTTTAGAAGGAAGGTTCACTGTAGACAATTTTTCTATTTTCTTTTTTCACAATCTAGAATCTTCTTGCTTGAAAATTAAGCCGAATCTGTGACCATGTGCACAAAATCAAAAGACTACATGAATCTCAGGAACCAAATCAAACAGCTCACTGACATCCTCCTCTGGCACGCACCATCATGCACAGCCCTTCCTCAGGGGTGCCACCAGAGATTTCCTGCGTCCTGACAGGTGTGGGTGTTCCTGGATACTCAGGGCTGCTATGGATGGCTACAGCTTGTATCAGTATTTGTAGGATGCAAGACTGGGTCAGCAATAGGATCCCCAACAAATTAAGGAAAGCGTGCCAGGAGCAAGGGGGCAGCCTGTATGTGAAGTGGCCCTGCGGGTGGTGAAGAAAAGAGAGAAGGGCCTGACAATTGAATGACAAGAGTGGAAACCTTGGGCTGCCAACAGGACTTGGTGGCTGTACGAAACTGGGAAAGAGAAGGAAAGTACTCAGAAAAACCCTGTGGCTGTCTTCCCACGTGCCACCATTTAGGGCCTCTGTCCTCTCTGACAGAGGGTCACTGGGCCACTACTGTCCTGTGGGCAGAACAAAAATCTGTAACCGTAATCATACTCAGGAGGGGATCCTGATTAGCACACAAGAGCTGCTGTGGCTGATCATTTCAAATGGAGGCCGCTAATTAGTGATACTAAGGACAGGGCACATGCTCTACACCCATGCCCTGTGAAAACTTTGCCTCGGTCTGGTTTTGCCCCGCTGGGAGCTGTGTGAAGGTGAGCAGGGAAACAGGAGTGGTGGTATTTCTAGATACAAGTTGTCCTTTGCCTATGTCCCTTTGCATGAAGGAGCACAGAGAGTAGATTGTGACCCTCCTCACGGCCTGGATGCTCATGCCTTCACACAGCACACTCTCAGGCTGTCTGGACATGCCCCGCTCAGCAGATGTGGTTGGGGATGTTGTATTACCATCAACTGTTCCTTTTACGGGAGATAGGGAACTCAGATTCAAGTAGGGCCCTGCGCTTGGGACCAGCTGAGCTCCTAGGAAGTCATATCAACCCCCATCTCCAGCAGCCCGATGGTCCTGACCAGCCTGAGAACAGGGCCTCTGTGAAGCCAGGGTTCCAGGTTTTTGCAGGTAATGCTACTAACCTCGAAGGTTCCACAGGCAGTGCCACTTAACAGGAACAAAGGTGCTTTACTTCAAAAAAGCACTCAAGTCTTCTGAAGAAGGGTGAGCAGTCTGGCAAACTTTTTTTTTTGGTGGTAAATGTACAGTCTAGAACAAAATTTGGTTCAGATTAAATCCAATTAAAAAAAACCCAAAGTAAAACACATTAAAAACTTTATTAAGTATCACACATCTAAATTTGCATCAATTTGATACAACGCTGCTCATTTTGCAGAACATAACAGGCGCACGATTTCCTTACATCCTAACAGTCAACTTGCTTTGGGTCTTTTCATCCTCCTGGTGGTCCCGCGCCTTCCCTCTCCAACTGGCATCCCATCCTCCGCAGTCTGCTCTGCCTCCTGCCACCGCGGCCACCGTGGGATCAAGGCCCAGGTCTTGGGAGAAACTGCTGCCAGAGGGACTGGCTGCAAGTGGGAGGGCCAGGCAGTTAGCCCTGCGGTGGGGACACAGGCAAGAGACCATCTCTCTTCTTTTAGGGCTGAGCCCACCATGCGCTCTGTAGTCAGCCCACCTTGTTCCAGAAGCCTACTGCTCTTTCTTTGTTCCATTTTACCCCTAGCCTGAGTGGCTAACTGGATATTCTCAGCAAACTTAACCCAAGTTTCATGGAGAACTCCAGAATCTCTAATCAGCACTTGATTATTATAACTTTTTAATAGATGTGGGAAGAAGGAGTTGGGAAAGCCTCCCTGGATGGAACAGCTAGGAATTAGCTCCCTGCTTCCCCCTCATCCCTGAGGAGGTGTGGACACTGAACAGCCACTGAGATTTGAAAACAAGTTTGAGAAAAAAAAAAAAGATTAAAGAATGATCTGACATGTCCTCTCCAAAATAACATCTCACTCTCCCCCTTCACAATTATTACACTCAGGTGGCATGTGGATGACATGTCACAGCAGCCACTCCCCATCCATAGTGCCCACCAACCGCCAGCAGAAATCTGCAATTTTAATGCATTTAAGGACATTAGGAATGAGAGACGATTCTCAGATCCCACAAACTAGGGGAAATGCCCAATACAAAAATAAAGATAGAAAATACATGCTAATTTAAAGGCAAACTTATTTGATACTCTAACAGTAATGATCTTGGAGTCAAGGGCAGGGTGGACCACCCTCTCCCTATCGGCATGTCAGTGCCAGAGATGCCTGGTTCTCCAGGCTGATTTGGTGACAGGGCCATGCCCCTGTCATTCGGCGTTGGGCTGGTCCCAGTGTCAGCCTCAGACCATCATTGCTGCAGCAGGAAGTTGGTGGCCACGTTGAGGTCATTATTTGACGCTCTCAGGGCTTCCAAAGCATCACCTCTGGAAAATCCCATCTCCATAAGCCGGGCAACCTGTAAAAGGAAAAGCAGAGACCAAGGAAGCTGCCAATATTGCTACCTGCTGGGCCAGATTGTTCTTTACGTGAGCTTTGTGGCAAAGGTCAAAGCTGTTAAAAAAAAAAAACCTGATGATTTTTTTCACTTTCGTGTAAAATACGATACAGTAGACCCTCCATAGGTGACCACCTTCCTATACTCACCAGCTTCTTAAATTGACCTCATTTTCACAGACTGGACAAGCAATCACATAAACCTATCAGTACAGCAGGACTAGTTCCTTCTGTTGCCCACCTCATGTTGACCAGTTTGTTACAGTCCCTTGGGTGATCAACTGTTCTACTGTATTTAAAAATTATCACAGGCACAAACTTTTCAATGCCTGTACAATATATACGCATAATCTTACATAATTCTTATTTGTAGACAAGGAAATAAGGCTTCTGAGGTTCAAGTGAACTGCTAGGACCCAGCCTCAGAGCAGATCAGTACAAGAAGGCCCATGGTCACCAGCAGGCCTACACTCCTTAGAGTCCTATCTGATCCCTGAGGAAAACCTCAGGAAAGTCAGGTTTTCATGCACGTGCACACACCTGCATTCTAGAAGTTTTATTCCTGATGGTGACAGAGCACTTTCAGCCCTTGGTATCACATAGCCGGGCCTGACTGCCCTTGGGTGCGCCAACCCTTCTGACAGCTGCAGCAGCTGCCGAGTGCAGAGGGGGCTAAGCCTGCTCAGGGAGGGAGGGAGGGACTAGGGGCCTAGGGAGAAGCAGGCCTGCATTTCTTTGGACAAATTCCGACCCTGTGAATATAGAGGTTTCCTGCACTTTCCTAAAGCGATACAGGTAGTGCTACTGAAGTTTGTTCAGGACTTATTCTCCCTATTAAGAATGTGTCACAAAGACATTTACGGTCCCAGATCAGCCTCAGGAATCCCATTTTTCCTCTTATGTTAAAATACCACACTTGCAATGACACAGAAGATGATACTCTTGTAAATGTTGGGCTTTTTGGCAATGTGTGCACTAGAGGGCCCAGTATCCTCTGTCGTGGGCTCCTGGAGGCTGCATTTGTGTGCCGATGGCTTTGCCTGACCTCTGTGGCTGTGGGCCAGGCTGCTACTGTGCAGTCCTGGACTTCAGCCCCATCCCTTCCTTCCCATGCTCTCCCATGCACGTGCATATCTCAAAGGATGGTGCCCAGGACTGGGGGCAGCAGTGTGGGTGTGGTCCAGCCAGCTCGATGGGCAGGGACATCTCAGCACCCCCATCCCACATCTCAGCCCTTAGCTTGATCACAGCGGAGCACACACATAAGCACACAGTAGGTACACACGTGTGTGGGTACTCCTGGTGTGGCCAGTGAAGCTGGGGCCTGCTACACCCCCTCTGGGATTTCACAGAAAGTGCTCTGAAGCCAGCTTCTCACCTCCTACCTTGACTTTCTAGGTGTAGGGCCGTATGCATCTCTGCTAAATTCCATCTGTTTCCCAGCCAACCACAATGAACTATTTTCAATTTTAACTTTGTTGTTTACTCCATTAATCATCTCCCTCCAGCTTTTATCCTGCCTGAATCGCATCAGAGAGCCTCTGTGGCTTCATGGATAAAATGTCAGACAGGCCAGATCAAGGCAGAGCCCAGAATTCATGAGACACCCCTCAGTGTCCAGAGGTCAATCAGCTCCTCAGCCAGTCCCGTTATCCACTCTGCATGTCACCAGCATATCTCTTCAGGGAACGAGATGTTGTCAAACGTCTTGATGACACAGCAATCTTTTGAACATTCACGAGTCATCTGCTTGATAGTCTGCTGAGGCTCCTGCTGTCAGACATGAAACATCAGTTCTGCCACTCAGTTTTTAGAATTCACACTTTCCAGTCTGTAGGAGCAGCTTCAAAGGGAGTGCTACTCTCCTGCTTTCTGAGCTTCCTCAGGCTGTGCAGGGAGGAAGACTGGAGCATGGGGCTGAATACTCATCACAAGAAAATCCCCTCTCATCTAGGTGGTCTCTCCACTCTTGGGTCCAAGAAACCTTTTGTTATGTTTATTCTAGTCATTTCCCTGTCCTTGGGGGAGACAACTTCAGTCTGGAGTTGATGGCTCTACCCTCCTTCTGCCTGTTAGCCATCACTGGGATGCCATCACTGATCTCAAAGACATTTAAATGGAATGGAAAAGGCCACATTTACTATCACCTTTCTGTCACTTTTAATATGTAAGCCCAGCAGAGGACTAGCTGTATCTCTGCACCTAGCCAGCGGGAACAAACCTATTTGCTGTCCACATCTGGCCACCTGTGAGTTTGGTAAATCATGACTCACAATCTGGATCCAATGAAACATGAACCTAGTTCAGGTAGGCGTGTCAGGCCTCAGCCTGAGATCTTCCTCTATGGGCTGTGAATTTGGTTTTGAATCCAGGAGATGTGGATGATGGTCTGGGATGACTGGCCTGAATCCTAAATCCCCTAAGCGATGTCTTGGTGTGAGAATGAAAGCTTCTGCAGGCAAGACTTCCTCCTGTTTATCTCCTTCAGTCACGATCAACTGCACACGCCCTGGCACTGGTTTTGACAACTGAGCCCTGCTTTTCACAGGTCTTGGCAGAAGATCATCTGCTGCACAGGTTGGCAGTACTGGCTCTTCATCCCCTGAGGTACGTATTGCACCCCAGTAGCCAAACCTTTAGAGCGTCATGCGGTTTTGGGGGGTGAGAAGACAAGTATGATTAGAGACTTTCCACTGCTCATTGACCTGGTATTTTTTACCAGACTAAAAACATTACTAAGTAGCAATAGTGCTATGATAGCACAGTTCTTAAGAAAGAGCATCTGTAAGTTTCCCCAAGCATCCAAAACATCAATGGACAAATGAAACTGAGTGCCTGGGCTCAGGTCAGCGGTTAATAATCAGCCGCCAAAGATGAGGAGGGGATAGGACGCAAGGCCCAGGGCCTTGCAAGTTAGTTAAATGTCCCCTGCTGTCCTTTGTTCCGGAAGTTTCAGTGGTTCACAGTCCAAACGATAAGAATTAGAGCAAACCCCAGCAACACAGAAGATTCGGCTGCAGTTCTGTTAGGTGGACACTAATCATCACTGCTATGGATTGATATCCATCTGCCCAGAGACACCCAACTCACTCAATACCAGTGCATTTCACTACCATCTGTGTCAAAAGCTTATCTGCACGTGAAACATCAACTCCTGTGCTCAAGTGGCGGAAAGACAAAATGGAGGCCTGAATACACCTGTGGTCAGGTAAACAAAATACAGGTTGAACATTCCAACCCCCAAATACATCAAAATCTAAAACTCCTGAGTGCTGCCGGGGCCCCACAAGTGGAAAATTCCACACCTGATCTCTCGTGACAGGTGGCAGTCAGAATGCAGATATACAGTTTATTCCTTATCCCCAGGGGTAAAAAGATCCTCCCAGCCCTTCAACTGCAATAGATTCTTTCTAGGAACACCCAGATTGCCCCAGGCAAGCCCACCCAGGTAGTAAGATGACACGTGTGCAGGCTGGATGCTCTGGGCACGCACATGTGCTGTATTGTGTGGGTGTGTGCAGGTTCATCAGGGGCCCCACAGAGGGCCAAGACCTACCTGCTTACTCACTTGTTGTTTTATTATTCTCTGCTCTGTGGTGAAAAAGATATTGTTGAAAATGTCAAAAATGCCATCAGATCGCTCTATGGGTAACAGTGATAAGAGAAAGAGGAAGCGTTTATGTTTATCTGTGGCACAGAAAGTCACAAGGTTGGACAACCTGGTGGTGATGTAAGCATGAAATGTCTTACAGAAGAGGATGGTGTCGGAATGACCTCTATTTGATACCTGAAGAAACAGAAGGGTAGAATGCTGAAGTTCTACACTGAAAGTGATGAACAGAAGTTAATGAAAAATAAAACACACTGCACTAAGCTAAAAACAAAATTGTCACTCTGTCAGGGTCGCAGTGAACACATAACCCTGAAAGGCATGCTCATGAAACAAGCAAACATCTACCCCAATAAACTGCAAATTGGAGGGGACTGGGAAAATTTGATAGGCTGGTTGCAGAAATTTAAGAAAAAACATGGCATTAAGTTTTTAAAGATTTGTGGTGATAAAGCAGCTGCTGTTCACAAAGTAGTGAAATTGTGACGCTGGAACAAGTCCATGACACTAATGAAACGTCACTGCCTTAGTGTGCCTGCCCCGGAAAGACACCGACTGCAGACATTCCACACCGGAGCGAAGGAGCCCGAGGACCAGGCAGCTGCTGGGCTGTGCTCCTGCAGCAGGTATGCCTCTGTGTAAGCACAAGCTGTGTTTTCACCACACAGGCCAAGAGGGACATCTTTTCTGATTGGTTTCCCCAAAGTGTTGTACCAGCAGCTTGTGCTCACCACAAGGAAGCAGGACTGGATGACAAATGGAAGATTTTGTTATTTTTTGGCAACTGTTCTGCTCGCCCTCCAGCTGTAACTCTCATCAGCAATGTTGTGACTTGGCTCAGTGCCTGTAGCTCAGCAGCTAAGGGCGCCAGCCACATACACCGGAGCTGGCAGGTTTGAATCCAGTCTGGGCCTGCCAAACAACAATAACAACTGCAACCAAAAAATAGCCGGGTGTTGTGGCGGATGCCTGTAGTCCCAGCTACTTGGGAGGCTGAGGCAAGAGAATTGCTTAAGCTATGAGCTGTGATGTCATGATACTCTACTCAGGGCGACATAGTGAGACTCTGTCTCAAAAAAAAAAAAAATTTGTGACTTCATTAATTCAGCTATGTGTTACCAGGGAATTCTCAGATTAATGAAGAGTAAATACAAAAACACTTTCTTGAACAGCATGCTAGCAGCAGTGAATAGAAGTGTGGGAATAGAAAGGTTTTAAAAGGAGTTAGCAAGAAGGATGTCGTGTGCTGGTGCCGATGTGTGGAGCACAGTGACTAATACAGCTGTCATGCCTGGTCCAACCCGAAGCCTCAGGCTGATGATGAACAAGGTCGCTCTGAAGGATTCTGTATT